TGACAATAGTGTATTTTAATGCACGATGCCTTTACGCGGGTATAAATGTGCATTTCTTAGAAAATTGCAGCCGCTATCTGGTTGGACTGGAAATCGTACTCGCGCAAATTCATTGTGCATTGAAATACAATATTGTCAAATAGTCGGAATATTATCTGACCATCTGGATCAACAAGATTAGGTCTTACATAAAAAATTTTAACTTCATAAAACCAGATACGCTGTAACTATAATTTGTGCACTGAAACCTCCATAAACCCCATAAATCAAACTATAAAGCTAGAATTATGAAAATATGCGTTATTTCCAAAATGGAATAAACAGATTTTTATATAATCTCTAATAATTCTATTCAAAAGTAGATACAAGTTGAAAATATTAGACAAAATTTATATATTATTCGCAATGATATTTCTATAGGAAATAGAGTGGGAAAATAAGGTTATGAAATTAATAAAAATATTTTAACTAGTGGTGTATGGTATCGTGCTTTAAAACGAATTGCTGGAACTTTGCGTACCGCATTGAAATATTCGATAAATTTCAAATGTTTCCAAAGACATTATCATAAATATTGTAACTTTAGTTACTTATTCGTATTTTATAGACAAAATATAAGAACTCAAAAATTAGATAACGACGTTTAAATATATCCGCACAAAAACTAAATAAACCAAACTTAATTAAGCCGAGTTAGAATGAAGGATCTTATCTCAAATTTATAAAAAAAAAATATACTGCGTTGTGTATATTATTTATTTAAAGTATATAAGTAAGCTTCAGGATTTAAGTCAGAATTAAAATAAAATCCGAATCATTATCGATATTCAAATAAAATATTTTTTGAAAATTAAACGTTTTTCAAAAACTCAATTTCCATTTTCTTCACTTCTTGCTTCATATCTCCGAAACGACTGAACCAACTTTTGCAAAATTAATCAGCACGTCTCACTATCAATAGGAATCAATTGCTCTTTGAATATTTCAAATTGGTTGATCCGTTCTCCCGTAAACACACATACATATACATAAGTCGAGGGCAGAAGAACGCATTCCACACATCAAAGTCTGGCTAAAGCGCAAGTATGGCGAAGTGAATTATTATACTACGCAAATGCTATCTGGGCACGGCTGTTTTCGAGCTTACACCCGGCTTGCCATACACCCGGCTTGCCCTATTGCCCATATTATTTGGGCGAAATCGAAGATGCTGAGCATGTGTTCTTCGTGTGCCCGCGATTTCGTGCTCTACGGGACGATATGGAAGAGATCATCGATAAAAGAAGAGTATATATGTAACAGACATTTTTCGGAGATTACCGGACATGGAAGAGATATTGAGCCAAAGAATTACCCCAGCTACTGTTGCTGAAGTGAAGCTGCTTGAAACGCCATAGACAGATTTGCGAGAGATGTGCTAATTGACCTGCGTTCTATGGAAAGAGAAAAGGCAAATGGGACTTCGCCCATTTAAAAGATTAGTATAAATAATGATAACATTTTAGAATCCTTATCCTCCCCCACGAAGTAATGCCTAACGGCGGTTTCCGTTAGGACCAGAGGCAAGGTCAAAACGGTGGTTTTAGTCGGTATTATACCAGGGCGTTATTGAGTCCGACATACCCAGACAAAACACACACATATATATCAATTTTTTTTATAAGGTATGCAAAAATGATCAGAAAACTTTAAAACGTATAGATACGCAAAATTTTCATTTCCGATTTTTGAACGAATACAATAACTTTCTCTTCGGGAAGTTAATAATAAAAATTTTTAGTAATGATATTTTCTAATAATTGTCCTTTATTTATTTATTTATTTTATTTATTTATTTATTCATTTATGTATGAATTGCCCTTTACCTATATTTTGAACACGTGATTAGCGGTTGGGTTGTTGAGGTTATGTTGAGGGGTACGCAACAACTAGCGCCATTGTGTGCGTAACTTTCCCTGACGTAACTACACCCATAGATAAGTAAACATAACTAGATCGCTATCTGAAGCCATTTGACATTACCGCCATTTTAATATTTTTAGCGATCTAAAGGTGGCAGCACTTGTTCAGTATATAAATCAACCGCTGGTATTATTCCTAGATATGGTTCGCATACGTAATTCAAAATAAGAAAACCTAAATAATTTCTTATATTGGAAATGAGAAAAAAAATATACGAAGTACAAAATATATTTTCAAATATATCACAAACATTTTTACATAACAATTAAATTTTTTATAAATGTAATAATCAATATATACACAATAATAAGTATTATAATTTTACATTTATAAATAACTAAAAAAAGTATTCACAATGGTATGATAAATTTACAAGGAACGATCAATATGATTTACTTAATGATCAATAATATATAACAGAGATTGTGTAGTTCGGAATAACAAATTCAGAAAGAATCACAAATAATGCAAAAATTTAAAAAGTTAAAAAGAACAAATAACTTGTTAAAAAGTACAAATACTTCATAAACAAAAAATCATAAGAACATAATATAATAATATTATAAATAATATTTATATATATATAAATATATTGATATCAAAATTGAGAGTAAACTGAATTCCTAGAATTAAAATTCATTTACGAGACATTCTTCTTTATTAACTCTGCATTTAATAGTTATTTTGCTATCTAATCAATCATTAATAAAGCTGCATTTGACGAAATCTTTGAATAGATTCTATATGAATGTTTTTTTAAACATTACATTCAACCGTGTCATGATCATGATGAAAACGTTATCATCAAAATTGCCATAAAAGATCAAAAAGTATCAACATTGTGTTTACTATGAACAGAAAAAAGTTTTATGCACGTGCAATTGTTCATCTACATCAACAATAAGAGATTTTAAATCAGAACTATTAACCCCACCTTCAGAAAAGTAAAAAGCAACTGGTTGCTTCCAACGATTCTTCACTCCTTTAATCATGAAAACAAGTGCATGATCCGGAAATAAACATTTTCTGCCATTTGCTAACTCTACAAAACCAACAATGTGATCCTTTTTACGATCATATGACAATTCTGAAGATAGTGATATTTCATCAAACATCAAAACACAGTATTTGCTACCCTCATACTTTTTATGAGAAATAGCTGAAATTAATTAAAAAGACACTCATTTATACCGCTATACAAAGGTATCTCTGAAAGCAACTTTCTCAATGTTTGAGGAGATGGCAAAATAAATATTTGTCTCCAAAAGTAGTAAGCCTTTGGAGACTTTTTATACAAACTTAAAGCAAGAATTTTGTCCTCGTCTGTGAATTTTCTTCCTTTCGGTCTTTTAGTATGCTCTCTTAATTGAGACAATATAAAATTTCTTGCCCTTACATTTAGTGTTTCCGGAATATTTGAAAACTTTTCAGAACATTGTATACTTTGTTGCAATTTATCCCTTAAATTATTACATTGTTTGTTAATTCTTCTTATCTCCCAGAACAAAATTTTGGATGTATCATACATTTTACACCTCCTGGTGTAAAGCAACAAAAAGAGTTAAAGCACTTCTACGTTTAATCAGTGAATACTGAAGCAATTTGCAGTTACCTCCTAGGACATCTATTAAATATAATAACATGTTGTAATATCACAATTGATTAATTAATTATTATTGCTGTAATTAATATAAAAAAATACCTTTCCGGAAAACTGGTGTCAGAATAGGTGACTGTTTTAACCCGCACTTGACAATCTTAGGGGTACTGCAAAAATCTTTTCTGAGGTTTTTAGGTCTCCATCTCCTAACTGAAAATATAAGATTAATTTGTCAGTAATTTTCTGCAAAAAGTATGTGTTCCATAAGTAAGTTCCATAATGCTCAAAGAAGCTAACAAAGGAAGCATATTAATGTATAAATTATTAAAAAAAAGGTAGAGGTAGGTACCTGAGTTAAGTGAGCAACAATATCATGTAAAATTAATGTCTAAACAACTTGTATTTATCTACCTGAGATGGGATTAAAATTCTTTAACAATCGGTATGTCTATGCTTTCACATTACATTTGTGAATCGACACACCAAGTTCTAAAATAATATAAGTTTTTTAAAATCTAACTATCAAATACATATATAAATTTTATTATTATTCTTACGGAATCTATGTTTATCCAGGAGACAATTCTCTTCTAGGTAAGGATTCCCAACAAATCGGTAGGGCATTAATTTTCAAATTTGTCTTCGAACTTTTTGGCAAATTTTCAACTTTACAAACATTTGTAAAGTGCGCATCACAGACATAACAACGTTTGCCACAATATAATGGAGTTAAATCGTCCATTAAAGGATTATTCGTCCTCTGCACCCAAATTGAAAACATTTTCATTATATTTTTATTATACAAATTTATTATATAAACACAATACATCATTATATACATACCTGATCATTAGATGCCGGAAAGACATGCAACTTTATATTATTTCTGGAGTTACCACAATTTGGTTCACTGCACTTTGCCATATTAATTTGATAATAATTCCTTGAACACAATTAATTATAAACAAAATACTTCACAACGTAAATAAATGCTTCACTACGGCTTCACCGGCTTCACTATATAAGAAGGTAAAATGGCGATTAATTTCCGCTCAGCCATCTATTTTCTTTTCGATTAATGAGATTGAAACAAGTAACGACATCTTTTTTTCGCTAAAAATATTAATCCTCGCCAAAACAGTGTAACGAGCATTTGTTCGGAGATAACTCCCCATGACTACACCTTTGTGTGCGTAACCTTGCGTAACTTTCCCAAAAACATAGAAAGTGTAACGCATAGATAAAAGAAGAATAACGCGTAGATAAGAAACGTCTGGTCTATAGATTAACAAGTATAAATATTGCTGGTAAAAAAAAAGGTATGAACACATGGAACACATAGTATTCTAATCCTAGACAATATTAGAATACCCCGTGATTCTAATATTGTCTAAGGTCTGGTCCATGTCTGGTCTGTATTAAGTGTTGTATCTCAGTGTAAAACCCGCCCTTGTATCATTATTTTGTCTAGGCTGATGTATCGTCTATAGTCCATATTATGTATTTTGTCTGGAATCTAAACTAGATATTGATATCAAAAATCACTGATACTAACTAATTGGTAAGATGTTGTAATTAATCACCACATCGCTGCGCTCAAAACGTTGCAGGCGACAGTATTTCATAGTATTTGAGAATAATCGCTTATTCTCATATTATAAAATGATCACTTTGCAATATTCAAATTTAATTAGTGCGAAATTATGACGCATGCAAAGGTAATTACTATTAATCTTTACCAACAATTGTATCAATACATACTAATAATTATATTATTTGAACTACTATTATTATATTGTCTACACATACTAATCATGGTTTCCGATTTGCGAGGTTAACATTGATATCTTCCCAAGACAATATAATTCCCAAGATACATAATATTTGATATCGAAAAGTTTTTGTGATGCCAATATTATTTTGATTAAAACTGTACAGACACACTGTTATTCTCAGAGCTATATAAAATAAATTTTAATATTTTTAATTCAATGTAATACATCAAAGTAATATGATGTAAATCTTATTAGCATCATGTTACTATTACACAATCTTGCGACATTGAATAATAGTTGGATTTGTTTTAGAGTAAAACCAAAAATTGCAAGTATATTATTCAATAATGTCTAAAGAACTTCCCAATCGAGAACCTTTGCCCGGTGAAGGGTTACGTTCACTGAGAACAACTGGTATATTTCGGGCTGTAAACTTTGAACTATATGCAAAACCTGTAAGTTTTACATAATTGACTTTAAAAATTAGTTTGATTTTTATTTATCACTCATTTTTTAGAATATGTTTATAATGGGTATTGGATTAATTGGAATCACTATTAGCTTGGGTTATATTGCTTACATGCGATCAAAATATGAAGGAATGGGATATTACTCAGCAGTTAAAGAAGATGGAACTGAAATTTTCACTAAGAAAAAATCAAAATGGGATCATTAATGTAAATTAAATTTAATATTAATTCATATAAATATTACCATATAGAAATATATTGACATGAATGAAAATAATTCTAAAAATTGTTATTGTTCGACAATGTTAATAACATAACTATTTTAACGAAGGATTAAGTGTGTAATATGCGCCATCTGTCAACTAACTGGATATAATGATAAGAGGATTAAAAAAATATATATTTTACAAAAATCCTAGCATGTATGGAATTTATTGGGAATTTGTTGGCACATTTTCGATTGCTTAGTGATAAATTTGAAAATACAATCTTGATTACAAGATGTTTGTGTCGCACCATGTTCTGAGGTAATTTGTTTGCTAGTCTGTACTTTTTTTATGATTGAACCTTTGCTAATTCTTGTTTTGAATAAATTTTTTTCAAAAAAAGTCTACATCATGTTTTAAAGTGCTTTCATATTTTGTAAACTAAATTTTAAATTGTTTGGATTTTTTTTATCATTTTATTGCATTTTTGTCATAGGCTTTATAATACTTGCATTGTACTATAAGCTCTATGATTTTTGTATATAATTTGGAATAATTTAAAAACAAGAGAATAAAGTGTCAAAAATCATATATTATGAAAAAATCTCAAAAATATATATGATGTTTTATTGCAAATTTAATAGAGAATTAGATTTAGGAATAGGATATTTGAAAAATATTTGTGTTCGTAAATATAATTTGGGGCCGTTAAAGGATAGTTGGTTAACAATTTGAGGATGGTCTATAAGTATTAATACAAAGTTCATAAAGAAACAAAATAGTATCGATAAAACAACATGTGGCAAGAGATGATATGCTGAACTCATTAATATAAGCAATGTGTTGTGGTCAAAGCCATGAACAAGGTTAATTTTGTGCATTTTAAAATATAGATATTTTAGGAGTTTACTCGCATTGGAGTTATTGATATGATGAGGATACCATAAATCTATCCATATTCAAACTTAAACTGCAGATTTGCATAGTTCATCCAAATTAGTGAGTGATTTGAATTAAATTCTTTACAGCTTCTTAATAAATTTTAACTTTTTTAATTTTTGAATTAAATTTTAACTTTTTAGGAGTTTTATTGCAAATATTCGCTATGTGGTCTGTAAGACTAAACAGAGTGAAACTAGTTGGGTGCATGGCATCGTGCCTTAAGGAAAATTGCTGGAGCTTTCCGTACTGTAATTAAAAATCTTGATACGGAATCCAAAAAAATTTACACAAAATGTGTACACATTAAAATTCCAATAAACATTTTTGACCGCCAAATGACATTTTTTTAACTTATTTTTATTGTGAGTCCATAACCGCTAGACCTGCTTTCCCAAAAATTAAACAGAACGGGGCAAAGAATGCCAAAAACGGTAACTCAGTTTTTAAGAGAACAGACTGTCCATTTTTAATAATTCAAAATACAATTTACTTGTATTGATAAGTTAAAAAACTGATTGAATTTTTGGGGAGGCAGGTCTAGCGGTTATGAAAATTGATCATTAGACATATGCGCATCAAATTATCAGATATTTTATAGAGATTTTTCATAATGTGCCCACATTTTGTGTAAATATTTTTAGGTTCCGTACCAAGATTTTCAATTACTTTACGGAAAGTTTCAGCAATTTGCCTTAAGGCACGATTCCATGCACCCCACTAGTTTTGTGATCAAAATGAAAAACTCCCGGAATAATGTACTATCCCGGAATAGTGTACATTTACAGGAAAAAGATGATATTAGAGAGGCAGATGATTACTATATTATCATTGCAATGGTTATCAAAGTTATGTTTAATACCAAAATTAACAAATTCTGAAATATTAGAAATATTGAGATTTTAAGAACTTTGTTATAGTACTATAAAATTTATAATTATTAAGCTAAATAGTCCAATTCCAAATCCGTCAATTAAGTTAGAAGTTGCAAGTTTAAATACTACAAGTTGCAAGTTGCAAGCTTAACTACTGGCAGGGGCGTAACTACCGCCGTATCAGCCGTATCAAAAATACGGGGCCCCCAACGAGCGCAAGCAGAAAGCAAAACTACAATTTTTCAAAAAATAATAAATATTAATAATTTTAACGTAGTTTTGCATTTCCTTTTTTTATCGAGTGTGATGTATTAAGTTGCCTTGCAGCGGAGATTTAATTGAGTAAAAACACTTCGAGTCCTTATAGATATAGACTAATGAACAACTTTTATTTACTTTGAGTACAATAATTTCAGGAATAAATTATATAATAGGTTATAGAGTTTGATTTAGTATCGTCCATAGATAAGGAAAATTGGAAAATAAGGAAAAGCTGTGGTTCCAAGAGAGAGAGTGTGAGTGTCGCCTGTGCATCTTAGGTCTGACTCCTTCGGATGTCTTCGGGTATCTACGATACCCTTCGCCTGCCCTAGGTAGTGGGGCCCATACTAATAGAATATTCGATATAGGGGTTTCAGCGGGCACAACAAGAGGTATTGAACTTCAACTTGTAAGCTAACGCTTTAAGAGAATTTATTTCTGCTGCAATATTTCTGCATGCTCTAGCAATCAATTCAATTAGTAAAGCCTTTCCACATTCGATAAGTTAACAAATCTGTAAAACTAATTCAGATTATATGTTCATCAAAAATTGGAATTTGTAATTTTTATATTTATATCGTTTTTTGTTTGTTGTTGTTACTACTTGAATTGTCTGCTTGACGCGTCAGTTTAATAGTTAGATTTTGATAAATATGATCAACTAAATCATTTTCAGATTTCTTTCTTCACCGTTTAAAAATATAAGTTTCTGTTCTGAAACTTTACAACACGCCAGTAATGACTTACAAAAAACTAGCATTTTATTAAGTAAACTTTTGAATAGACTGTACAAATTAAGAAATGAAGATTTATTGAAATAGTTTGTTAAAGAAGTACAAATATGGATATGGAATTTGCAAAAAATATGGGTTGCAATAACTATTTTAAAGAACAAAATACATAAGATAATGAAGCGTTATTATCACAAGATGAAAGAATTTTAGACCCAAAATCTTATTTTAATGTATACTATTGCTGTTTGGATATATTAATTTCACAAACCACACAAAGGATTACAAGAAAACGGCCCGGCCGATCGTTACCAGAAACTAATCAGCCCGATTCCCAACCAATATCTTTCGAACGGTTTTTTATTTTCAAAATCGATTCAGAATTACTAAAACGTGGACGAAAAATTTTTCACTTTTCTGCGATTTACAAAGAAACGGCTTGGATGATCGTCGCGCAAAGTTGATAAACGCTAGTACTTAACGAGATGCATCGAATGGCTTTGCCATCGAATTGAAATTTTTGAAATCGGTCCAGCCGTTTTTGAGTTTCGATTTACGGCAAAAAATCTGTGCATGCACACGCACACGGACACACACACACATACACATACTTTTGCTAAATTTTGTCTCATTCGATACAGAATGGCTTGAAACGTCGAGAAAACAAAATTAGCGAATCGGATTTTTTGATGAAAACATAAACTCGTTAAAATTAATTGATTCTAATATTTCAAAAGTATACAATGAGGCAGATAATATGGCATATAATATCAGAAATTCCTATGCCAGAAGATATTTTTAATACTATAATATTCGTAGATACTTAAAAAAAACGAACATAATTTGTAGCTACATAAATGTGATTATTTTAAATAAATAAATAAATATATATATATATAAATATATATATATATGTATATAATAATATATAATATATATAATTAATTTATTTAGATGATTTAGTATGCCATTTGCATTCCATTCAACAATCCGCAGTGATTTAGCCATTATTTCTTTACCAAAATAGTGAGCATCTGCATGATCATATTATTTTGTTCCATGAGTAGTTTAAACATATCTCCAAAAATGTTCAAGAAGTCTTGTAGTACCGCTTCAATGACTACAATATGATTCAATAATTTCGTGATATTGCAAATTTCATTATTATTATTAGAGGGCTCCAAATCAATAAAAAACATGTTGAGTGGCTTTTTGGTTATATACGATCTCATATTTATTATATTTCTGACCTTGTGATTTTTCTTCTCTAGTTCCGTTTTTATTTCGTCAATATCGTATGTATGATGGATATTTTTGAGAACCACTCTGTATGCTCTTTCATTTTTAAGTTGATAAGTATGATAAACAGTACTATCGGAAATCAAATAAATCACCGATTATAAAATATTTATTCTTTAATACTGTGATAAATTTTATAAATATATCTGAACAAAATTTTACATTGCCAAAACAATCGATCCAACAAAAACCCAACGTCAATTATTATTTTATTCCTCGCTTACTAAAATTGACGGGACCTGCCAATCTCCCACATATTGGTAATAAAATACACTATGCAAATGTTGCATATGCTCAGGGGCGTAACGTGCCTTGGCGGGGCCCCATATCAAAATTGGTTTGTGGGCCCCCTTAAAGATTTTTCATAATTTAAAGAAACATAAAAGGATTAATAAATTCATTTAATAAAATTAAAAGAACATTTATTTATCAAATTTTCAAATATACATCGAATATTATTCTTAATATTTTACAAGTAACTAAAATTAAATATTCACTCTCCTTGCCTTTTTATCTGCAAACTGATTTATTAAGTCATTTATAGCTGATGATGTTTTTAGTTTTTCTAATGTTTCTGCCTCTATGGACAATAGAGACAGGTCTGATAGACGTTTCTGTTTTATTGATGTTCTGAGGTAATTTTTGATTAATTTTAATTTTGAAAAACTCCTTTCAGCAGTTGCGGTTGTAACTGGAAGGGTCAAGAATAAAATGCAAGCTGTTATTACATCCGGAAAACTGGATGCAATATACTATTAATCTACATTTAGTTAAATCGATTCCATATTGATTAAATATATTCAAAATTTCAATTTTAAGTCCTTCGGCTCTGCTGTCAGACACTGCTACAAATCTCAAAAATGATTCACAGATTTTTAATTCTTTAGGCACATTATTACCATCCTCTGCTATCGAGATGTATCGGAAAACTAGAGAAAGTTGGTCAATCTTTGACAAATCTTGCGTTGTATCTAAAATTATTATAGGGGCATTTTCAATTTCTAAAATAATATTGTTCCTAACTGCGGTTCCTAACAAACTTATAATTTCATTTTGGATCAAAGGGCTTAAATAATTTATTGCTCCCTCTGGTTTTAAAAG